TGTCACTAGATACAAGTACACGAACTAGTCCAATGGAACTAGTAAAATGGGTGGTTCGTGGGTATGAGTAAAATCGCCACTTCGAATATATAAATTTCTCAATGATTTTTTTATACAAAATTTATTATATTAATTAATATAATACGTTATACATTGACACATGATTTAATGTATAATATATCATAATACAAAAAAAAAAATCAGTGAAGGAATTCAGTTGAAAAAGAATAAAAGAAAAATGCAAAAAAAAGTGCTATTAGAATTAAAATTTTTTATAGAAAACCGCTATTGCATAAAAATTATCATTATTAAAATTTAATATTCCATTTATGGAATCGAATCATGGTAGAGATTAGTGCAGTTATATATGTATTGTTGACGATGCCATAATCAAGGAACTTAAATTTGAATATGACAAATATAAATGAACCACCAAAAAATGTTTTCCATACATAGTGTGACCAGTAATTAAACCCATTCACAGTCTGTAATAATAAATTTTACAATTTTAAAAAAGTGTATATTTGCCATTATTATTTATGACTTTTTATCATTTCTAGGGTATCTTCTTGATTCCATTAGTGTAGAACTTTTTCGGTTTATTAATGAAAAACTTAGTTAAGTGACTTTTAGCGGCTTCCCCGAATGGCGAATTAAGTACATTTAAGAGAGTTTTGTAGAGACCGATGCAAATGAGATTCATGACCATTTCAATGAGATGGTGAAAGATAGGGGCTCTAGCGTGGATATTTCAAAACCTTCCAACTAACTTCCAGCAACTTGTTTATAGTCAACAAAAATGTGTATAGTCCGGTATTGTCATGGAGAAATACAATGTCTTATCTGTTGGTAAATACGTGTCCGGTTTCCTTGATTGTTTCGTTGTTTCTTTCAGTCTGAAAGAAGCAGCGATTTCCATTAACTTCTTCTGGAGGACATTTGAAAAATGTTTTAATATATGTCACAACTAATAACAAAGCAAAAAATAATAAATATTACATAGATCAATTTAAAAGATGGAAAGAGTCAACATTGTGTAGTTGACCCATCCCATATCAGATAGTGTTAGTCTTATTGTGAGAATGCTGATGGATCACTAACGGTTAAAAATTCATTTTAGAGGAGTGAAATATTTCGTTAAATTATTATTGCCACAGTTGGAAGTTGAAAGACGAAGAAGTTTATTCATTGTTCAATGCATGCGCTAGGAAATAAATTTTAATAGGATTTTAGCAATGATCTGTTCACCTTGCTAATTAA